ATGAATGAATGAATGAATGAATGAATGACATGAATGAATGAATGAATGAATGAAATAAATGAATGAATGAATGAATGAATGACATGAATGAATGAATGAACGAATGAATGAATGAAATGAAATGAATGAATGAATGAATGAATGAAATGAATGAATGAAATGAATGAATGAAATGAATGAAATGAATGAAATGAATGAAATGAATGAAATGAATGAAATGAATGAAATGAATGAAATGAATGAAATGAATGAAATGAATGAATGAACGAACGAACGAATGAATGAATGAATAAATGAATGAATGAATGAAAGAAAGAATGAATGAATGAATGATTGAATGAATGAAAGAACGAAAGAACGAATGAATGAACGAACGAACGAATGAATGAACGAACGAACGAATGAATGACATGACAGGGAATGCAATGGAATGGACTGGAATGGGATGGAACGGAATGGACTGGAATGGAACGGAATCGAACCGAATGGAACGGAATGGAACGGAATGGAAACCAATGGAACGGAATGGAAAGGAATGGAATGGAATGAATGAAGGAATGAAAGAAGGAACGAACGAACGAACGAACGAACGAACGAATGAACGAACGAACGAACGAACGAATGAATGAACGAACGAACGAATGAATGAATGAATAAGAATGAAGGAACGAACGAAGGAAGGAAGGAATGAATGAAGGAAGGAACGAACGAAGGAACGAACGAATGAATGAATGAAGGAAGGAAGGAACGAACGAAGGAAGGAAGGAACGAACGAAGGAACGAACGAATGAATGAATGAATGAAGGAAGGAACGAACGAAGCAAGGAAGGAAGGAATGAATGAAGGAAGGAAGGAACGAACGAAGGAAGGAATGAATGAAGGAACGAACGAAGGAAGGAACGAATGAAGAATGAAGGAAGGAACGAACGAAGGAAGCAAGAAAGAAATGAATGAATGAAGGAAGGAACGAACGAAGGAATGAATGAAGGAAGGAACGAACGAAGGAAGGAATGAATGAAGGAAGGAACGAACGAAGGAACGAACGAATGAATGAAGGGAGGAAGGAACGAACGAAGGAACGAACGAATGAATCAATGAAGGAAGGAACGAACGAAGGAAGGAAGGAATGAATGAAGGAAGGAACGAACGAAGGAAGGAAGGAAGGAATGAATGAAGGAAGGAAGGAACGAACGAAGGAAGGAAGGAATGAAGGAAGGAAGGAAGGAACGAACGAACGAAGGAACGAACGAATGAATGAATGAAGGAAGGAAGGAACGAACGAAGGAAGGAAGGAATGAAGGAAGGAAGGAACGAACGAAGGAACGATCGAATGAATGAATGAAGGAAGGAACGAACGAAGGAAGGAAGGAAGGAATGAATGAAGGAAGGAACGAACGAAGGAAGGAAGGAATGAATGAAGGAAGGAGCGAACGAAGGACGGAAGGAAGGAATGAATGAAGGAAGGAAGGAACGAACGAAGGAAGGAACGAATGAATGAATGAATGAAGGAAGGAAGGAAGGAAGGAAGGAATGAAGGAAGGAAGGAAGGAACGAAGGAAGGAAGGAAGGAAGGAATGAACGAAGGAAGGAAGGAACGAACGAAGGAAGGAAGGAATGAAGGAAGGAACGAACGAAGGACGGAAGGAAGGAATGAATGAAGGAAGGAATGAACGAAGAAAGGAATGAAGGAATGAATGAAGGAAGGAAGGTGGGACCAACCAAGGAACAAACGAATGAGTTAATGAATGAAGGAAGGAAGGAACGAACGAAGGAAGGAAGGAAGGAATGAAGGAAGGAAGGAAGGAACGAAGGAAGGAACGAATGAATGAAGGAAGGAAGGAACGAACGAAGGAAGGAAGGAATGAATGAAGGAAGGAAGGAACGAACGAAGGAACGAACGAATGAATGAATGAATGAAGGAAGGAAGGAACGAACGAAGGAAGGAAGGAATGAATGAAGGAAGGAAGGAACGAACGAAGGAAGGAATGAATGAATGAAGGCAGGCAGGAACGAACGAAGGAAGGAAGGAATGAAGGAAGGAACGAACGAAGGAGCGAAGGAATGAATGAATGAATGAATGAATGAATGAAGGAAGGAACGAACGAACGAAGGAAGGAACGAATGAATGAATGAAGGAAGGAACGAACAAAGGAAGGAAGGAAGGAATGAATGAAGGAAGGAACGAATGAAGGAAGGAAGGAATGAATGAAGGAAGGAACGAACGAAGGAAGGAACGAATGAATGAATGAATGAAGGAATAAATGACTGAATGAATGAATGAATGAAGGAGTGAAGGAATGAAGGAAGGAAGGAAGGAACGAACAAACGAATGAATGAAGGAAGGAAGGAACGAACGAAGGAAGGAATGAATGAAGGAACGAAGGAAGGAATGAATGAAGGAAGGAAGGAATGAACGAAGGAAGGAATGAATGAATGAATGAAGGAAGGAACGAATGAAGGAAGGAAGGAAGGAAGGAATGAATGAAGGAAGGAACGAACGAAGGAAGGAAGGAAGGAATGATGAAGGAAGGAACGAAGGAAGGAAGGAACGAATGAATGAAGGAAGGAAGGAAGGAAGGAACGAACGAAGGAACGAACGAATGAATGAATGAATGCAGGAAGGAAGGACGGAAGGAACGAACGAAGGAACGAACGCGTGAATGAATGAAGGAAGGAAGGAACGAACGAAGGAAGGAAGGAATGAATGAAGGAAGGAACAAACGAAGGAATGAATGAAGGAAGGAACGAACAAAGAAAGGAAGGAATGAATGAAGGAAGGAAGGAACGAGCGAAGGAAGGAACGAATGAATGAAGAAAGGAAGGGACGAACGAAGAACGAACGAATGAATGAATGAATGAAGGAAGGAAGGAAGGAACAAAGGAAGGAAGGAAGGAATGAATGAAGGAAGGAAGGAACCAACGAAGGAAGGAATGGATGAAGGAAGGAAGGAACAAACGAAGGAAGGAAGGAATGAATGAAGGAAGAAACAACGAAGGAACGAATGAATGAATGAAGGAAGGAAGGAACGAACAAAGGAAGGAACGAATGAATGAATGAATGAATGAAGGAAGGAAGGAACGAAGGAAGGAAGGAAGGAATGCATGAATGAAGGAAGGAACGAACGAAGGAATGAATGAAGGAAGGAAGGAACGAACGAAGGAAGGAAGGAAGGAATGAATGAAGGAAGGAACGAACGAAGGAAGGAACGAATGAATGAATGAAGGAAGGAAGGAACGAATGAAGGAACGAACGAATGAATGAAGGAAGGAAGGAACGAACGAAGGAAGGAAGGAATGAAGGAAGGAAGGAACGAAGGAAGGAACGAATGAATGAATGAAGGAAGGAAGGAACGAACAAAGGAAGGAAGGAATGAATGAATGAAGGAAGGAACGAACGAAGGAAGGAAGGAATGAAGGAAGGAAGGAAGGAACGAACGAAGGAACGAAGGAAGGAATGAATGAAGGAAGGAACGAACGAAGGAAGGAAGGATTGAATGAATGAAGGAAGGAAGGAACGAACGAAGGAAGGAACGAACGAATGAATGAATGAAGGAAGGAAGGAACGAAGGAAGGAAGGAACGAATGAATGAATGCAGGAAGGACCGAACGAACAAAGGAACAAACGAATGAATGAATAAAGGAAGGAAGGAACGAACGAAGGAACGAACGAATGAATGAATGAATGAAGGAAGGAAGGAAGGAACGAACAAAGGAAGGAAGGAATGAATGAAGGAAGGAAGGAACGAACGAATGAATGAAGGAAGGAAAGAACGAACGAAGGAACGAACGAATGAATGAATGAAGGAAGGAAGACACGAACGAAGGAACGAACGAATGAATGAAGGAAGGAAGGAACGAACGAAGGAAGGAACGAATGAATGAATGAAGGAAGGAAGGAACGAAGGAAGGAAGGAAGGAAGGAACGAACGAAGGAAGGAAGGAAGGAATGAAGGAAGGAACGAACGAAGGAAGGAAGGAATGAATGATTGAATGAAGGAAGGAAGGAACGAAGGAAGGAAGGAACGAACGAAGGAAGGAAGGAATGAATGAATGAAGGAAGGAACGAACGAAGGAAGGAAGGAAGGAATGAATGAAGGAAGGAACGAACGAAGGAACGAACGAATGAATGAATGAAGGAAGGAAGGAATGAACGAACGAAGGAACGAACGAAGGAACGAACGAATGAATGAATGAAGGAAGGAAGGAACGAACGAACGAAGGAACGAACGAATGAATGAATGAATGAAGGAAGGAAGGAAGGAACGAACAAAGGAAGGAAGGAATGAATGAATGAAGGAAGGAAGGAACGAACGAATGAATGAAGGAAGGAAAGAACGAACGAAGGAACGAACGAATGAATGAATGAAGGAAGGAAGACACGAACGAAGGAACGAACGAATGAATGAAGGAAGGAACGAACGAAGGAAGGAACGAATGAATGAATGAAGGAAGGAAGGAACGAACGAAAGAATGAATGAAGGAAGGAAGGAACGAACGAAGGAAGGAAGGAAGGAATGAAGGAAGGAACGAACGAAGGAAGGAAGGAATGAATGATTGAATGAAGGAAGGAAGGAACGAAGGAAGGAACGAACGAATGAATGAATGAATGAAGGAATCAAAGACAATGCAGAAATGATTGCTCCAAGAGGGTCCGATCCCCTCAGTTTTTTGTGATTTTGAAGTGCAAATCGAGCTCTCGCTACAGTCTCGTGCACATTTTCTCAACTTGATCTTCCAAAAGTGTCCCGATCCTCTCATTTCTTCGATTTTGAAATGCAAATTGAGCTCTTGCCACAGTCTGGTACACATTTTGCCGACCTCATCTTCCAAAAGTGCTCCGAAAGTGCTTTTTTTTGCATTTTGAAGTGCAAATCAAACTCTCGCTACAGTCCCGTGCCTTTTTGCCGACCTCATCTTCCAAAAGTGATCAGGGGCCGTCAGTTTTGTTGACAATTTCAATTGCAAATCGAGCTCTCGCTACAGTCCTGCGCACTTTTTGTGAAAAACACAGGGCTTCACACCCGAACGTGCTTTCACCTGTGAATTCACGCGTTCCCGAACTGTCACTCTTCTCCAGTAGTGCTGACATGGTCATGATCATGGCATGATGAACATGATGACAAGACTACCCCTGGACCTTCGTCAGTAACTCGGAAGTTTTCGAACTAAACTTCCTTTGATTTTATATCTCTCTAGCAAGATAGGATAGGATGGGATAGGATAAGATAAGATAGGATAGGATAAGATAAGATAAGATAGGATAGGAGAAGATAAGATAGATAGGATAGGATAAGATAAGATAAGATCAAGATAAGATAAGGTAAGATAAGATAAGATAATTTCAGATAAGATTAGTTAAGATTAAGATCACGATCAAGCTCAAGATCAAGATCAAGCTCAAGAATAGATAGATAGATAGATAGATAGATAGATAGATATAGATATAGATATAGATATAGATATAGATACTGATACTGATACTGTTACTGTTACTGTTACTGTTACTGTTTCTGTTACTGTTGCTGTTGCTGTTGCTGTTACTGTTACTGTTACTGTTCCTGTTACTGTTCCTGTTACTGTTACTCTTACTGTTCCTGTTACTGTTCCTGTTACTGTTACTTTATTTAAGTATTTCTTACCGTCGCTTCAAATGTGGGTGCCAGTGCCTCGGCACAAGCCAAATTCTCGCGCCAAGTGAGGACAGTGTTGCCCAGGCGGATGTCCAGTGGACCTGAGACTTAGACATACCAAGGGATAGGAATAGTATTGACAGAGTGCAAGTATAGAGTGCAAGATAGTGCAAGATAGTGCAAGATAGTGCAACTATAGATAGAATGCAAATCCATCAGACAAACCACACTGGCATCCACTGAGCATCCACTGAGCAAACCCGACAAATCTCAGCTAAGGTTTCTGGGCTTTTGGCTAAGGCCTGTGTCAGGCGAATCATCTCGGGTCCACAAACGGACCACAGCTACCGGGACCTGCACCGATACGATATGAATCAATATCATGATGCAACATGCAGCCGAATGTTCTGAATGCTTGAATGCGAATGTTTGACAAAAACGCAGCAAATTGCAGCAATGTCAAACAGTACTAACAGTACTAGTACCGTGTCAAACAGTTGCACTTGTGCCTGACGACCAAAGTCTACTCGCATCCAGGGATCAGGCTCCACCTGGATGCATAGCGAAGCAACGCGGTAAGGAGACAACGAGAAAACTAGAAAAAACTAGACAACGAGACAAAGACAGTCTCGTCAACATCTCCAAATCGAGTGGGTTTTGCGCCATAAGTAGGCTTGGTTTTAATGTCTCACAACCGCAATGTCCGATTTCACACTTCGACTCATTTCAACCCATTGGAACCCTCGCAAAAACTAAGATCCGCAATCTGCCAGAATCCACCAGAATCTGCGGAACACCTTCTTGAATACACTTGTTTCTGTCAGAATTTCGTCACCTTCGTCTCGGCGCAGCCCATGCCAAAGAAGAAAGCTGTGCCGTAGTCACCGTCCGTGGCACGAAAGCCATCACCTGTCCAAGTGCTTGAGCCATCTGCCGAAGAGTACCTGGAGAAAAAACGACAGAGACGACAAAAGAGTTTAATTGTGTTTAAATGAATGAACCCAAAGTGTTTAGTCAAATATAGTCAAATGAGTGAAAATAAATAAATCGACTGTAAAATGGGAAAATGATCAAACTAGCAGAGATGTGCCACTCATTTGAAGGCAGGTGATTGCTCTGCCATGGCAAAGGAAGCAAGTTATTTGTAGAAGAAGTCATGACAAGTTATTTTGCTCATAATATTGTATAGAGTCTTGTGTTTCATTTTCTTGAAAAAATATGCACTGCTTATGACTCCTTTGTCGGCTTCAACATGTTCGCCTGACATACCTAACATGTGGTTGATGGGCATGCAGCTCCATTTGGTTCCTGCGTGCTTGAAGGAAAATTCAAACCTTGCACTTCTTCTGCGTCAAAGCAACCTGGGTTCAATATGTAAATATGTTCAATTGTGTTTATCAAAACTCGTCTCTTCAGCCTGTGACAGCCTTCCGCGTCCAAAGGCGAGAAGAATCACGTTTAGTGCGGAAATACAATGCTGCTTCCCAGCTATCCCGAAATATCTCGAAATATCTCGAAATATCTCGAATTCCACTGGTTCGACCTTTTGCTTCGACCTTCGGTAGAGCCTTTGGTTCGACGTGATTAACAACGACCTTCCCAGAGCACGTCGCAGTGGAGGACATGACCACTGGCTGCCCATGTGCCAGATTGGGTGCAAGACGTGTTGCCAATTGCCTGGCAGCTGCTCTTGCAAGACTCTTCCAACACTATCTCGATCTGCCTCGATCTGCCTCGTGCTGCCTTGAATTATCCCTGAAGAAACCTGCCTGGTCTTGCCTCAATGCTTCCACTTGGGAATGTTTGGTGTCCCTGCTCTGCAACGCACCTCTCATCTTCGCCATTGCAAACAGCCAACAAACCCAATACTAACAGTACCCTCCACATGGGCCCGGCTTTGCCGTGACCCGTCAGTGGAGCATGCGTCGCACAAGGAAAAACGGACAAATAGAATACTTTGAATGACAGTCCAGTATCTGCTTTGAATTCACTTCACCTCCCTTGTACAACCATGCGAAATCCATTTATTTCTACTGTTACTGGATGTTAGTCTGCTAGACTGTACGAGCATGTATGAAATGTGAAAACCGAATCTAGATACATTCATGTTTCTCATTCTAATGGAATCTAATGGAAATGTTAAAGTGTCGTTCGATTTTTTTTTCTGCCCCGGTGTTCGGGTCTCCTATGAATACTTGAAGTCCGGGCGGATGCGACGACAGGGCTGATCACCAGTCGCTCAAGAAGAAATATGAAAAATACAAAAAAAACATATGAAAAATCACACCATTTGTATCAAATCTTCAAGTTGCATCAGATCGCATCAAATTTTTAACGTGGTCACTTTTGGTTCCACTTTCCCATCCCACAGCATCTCAAAGTCGACTCCTACATCGCAATTTCAATTTCTAAGCTGCCACAACGTTAACGCCAACTTCACTCAGGATATCCAACACCTCCCCCAGCAACTGAAGACACGTCAAATTGGTCAAGTTAGATACAGTACCTTTGATCCCGAACAAGAAAAGGATAAAATAGTTTAACATTGCTTAATATAGTTTGGCGCCGCAAGAGGATATCATCTTCGTCACTTGTACATTTCAGACTGATGGAATCCGTGCAGTCCTATGTTGCAAAAGTTTAATGTGCCAAGGACATCAAAACATCGCTTTTGTGGATCTTGGTTTGCAATGTGTCACAATTCTGTGACAAGTTCTGCTTTGAAAGTGAACTGGTAAACATCCATCTAAATAAGCAACCCGTTTTTTTGACAAACACAATATACTGCATAGATATAGAAGTCATGCTGGAAGACAAGCAATGCATCATCCGGTGAAGCCGTGTACACCACAGTAGAAATGACACGAAATGAGCAGAAGAAAAAATTCAAAAAACATTGATGTGCTACTGGTATAATGATAGGCAAACTACATAGTGATACATCATTTGGATTTGCCATGATTTGCCCTTTGGAAGTTTCCGCTTTTCGTTCAACGCTACAAACCCGTGAGCCCAGCACTGTAGTTTGGTTTCAGTTTCGCTCAGCTTTGCAGGAATCACGGGCAGGCACGGCTCGCACAGTCTCACAGCGAAACTTCTTCAGCAACTCATCAGAACTTCCATCTGCTATTACACCATAAACGTCCTTTCCTCGAATTCACTGGGGATCACTCAACATCTACGCATCACTCTAAGACAAGCGAAGTCCTACAAGCCAATGATCTATGATCAGAATTATCAAATCATTCAAGCGTTCATGATTCTCAGCTGGAACATTCCTGCAACAAAACACTACTGAAATCACCATTGAAAAAACTATTGTTTTTATGAATACTCCATGAACTTCAGAAGATTTTGAGTTGGTACGATTGCGTTTTTCTAACAACTTGAGAGTGGGGGACGAAAAGTAGGTGGAGACAATACCCCTCAACAATTTGTTGCGCTCATCCCGTTTCAATATCGAATTTTCCCTAGGTGCCACTCAATTTTTTGCATCCATTTCGCTTCATACGTAGACTTCTCCCATTGGCCTGTCCACCACTTCTTACGTTTTTGTTGTTGCAATATCCGAGCTTCCCCGGCATCAACAACTTCTTGCATGCATCTTGTTTCAATATCTAAATTCCACCCACCCTGTGCCATAGTCAGTAATAAGAACCACAAGCAAGATTAATAATGTTAGTCTGTTTGTTGGCCAGCTATGTGTATTAGAGGGGCCAAGGTGCCTCAACCGATGGACGCTCGATTGAGGCACTTTGCGTGTAAGGACAGGTCTTTAGGGATGTAACCTTCATGCGGCTAAGTGCGTGAGGATGTCTGAAGCAAAAGCAACATCAAGAATTGCAAGCGACGAAACCGTCCTTGTTTCGTGGGAACTATTAACAAGCTTGCGGCTATGATCACCACCATAATCCCTTGTGTCGGTGTTTACTGCGTGCATGTTCACTCTAGCTCTCCCTACATTCTCTGCAAATGTTCCACATATCTATGCCACCTTTACAGCGTGCATGTTCTCTCTAAGTTTCCCTGCGTTCTCAGCAAATGTTTCACATATCTATGCCATCTTTACAGCCATGCCCTCGTTCCATTTTTGGCTGCTACCTTCCATGGTTGAAGCCAAAAATTGGCTCCAGACCAGGGGAATCGAAGGGTTGGGGGTGGGCCTTGTGTGGCGATTCCTTACTTCCAGCCATCAATTTCCGGGAAAGGGCCAACCACCTCCCCCAATACAAAACTAGCATTAAAGTACATAGAGCTCATGTAGCCTAGGCTACCTTTCGTGAATTGGCAGGTCGCTCAACCCTCGGTTTTCCACCTGTGTCTCTGAGCCATTGTAGGCAACGAGTCCACTGAATTTGCGCGTGTCATCATGCAGACAACTGGCCATGCTAATTTTCTCTGTTTCGTTTCAACTACCTGGAACCTACATGGCTGTACATGTGCATGAGTGGGGCAGCTTGGCACTGCAGCAATTTCTGGTGCTGTGCCACATCTACTTTAGGTTGGCCCTTACAAGGCCACTGAGCTGAATTAATGGTTCCAGCTCTGTTGAAAGCTTCTATGCCACGCTCACTGTCTGCATTTTGATCAACTGGAGTGTGTAGTGCACCTGCATGTTTCATGCTATGATTGCGCACCACTTTGCCCAGCATCACCACAGCTGCTATGCAATGTCCATGAGGCTCTCAATCTCTGCCATTGCACGTCCATAGTTGCTAGCTTCTTCCCAATTGCCATCCACTTCCGCTATGTTGCGCTTCATCCTCAAAGTCTCGAGCGCGTTCTCCAAGTGAAGTCTGTTGGCTCGGGAAAGGCTGCCATCCTTTCATAGTCGTCCCATGCCAGTCCTCCATAATGAGTTTCTGCCCATTCTTCCGGGTCTGATACCTCCTCCTGGCTGGAGGACATATACCGTGCCCTCTTTTCAGCAGGAGTTTCATCCACTTCCATCTTATCATCGTCTTCCATCTCCTCTTCTCTTCCTTCTACATGAGCTCCATGAACTCCACGGGTTGTTTTGGCTCTCTCATCTGCTTCTGTCTCACCAACCGTTTGGTCAATGTTACGACCATTGAGCTGGTAGACATGGTTCAAAGCAGCTTCAGCCAGGTCAACTCCTTGGAAAGGTTCTTCTTCTGGAGCTTCTGGAGGTCCATCATCCTGTCTCGGATCTGGTGAGTCCGAGACACCTGCTCCAACTGGAAAGTTTCCATCAGTCAAGTACTCATCCAAGCAGCCATTTACATTCTCCACGTCCACCATGAAGTCACCATGCTGCCCAGACTCACGATAGCGCTCATGCAAATACGCTATCTCCTTCTTCAAGATCCACCATGCAACCCAAAGACTCGGTTTCACCAATGCTCGAAACCTCAGTTCCATCAGCCATGCCGCATGTCATAATGCAAATTGCTGAAGCCATCCATAGTGACTCCACACCATTGGTCCAGCGCAAGTACAACCACCTGCAGCAAACATCAAAGCAAAACCAATGAACTGCGCCATCACGCACTACATTACACACAGTTTTGAACAGGTGAGGGAGACCAGATTCCAAGCCAGATCGTCGAAAACGCGTGTCAATCGCCAAAACAAAACTCCACATGAAAACTGTCGCATTGCCAAATCACATGAGGAAATAACTGACCATGAAAACTCAAACCGTCAACTCAAACTGCCAAGCAAAACAGGTGATGAACTGGAAATCACAAATGACAACTCACAAAATCGGATCGCAGACTTTTCTCATGTGGTGGTGAGTTCTTGCGCAATCCAAGTTGTCGGCTGCTGCAACATCACCTGAAAGATTGGGAAGCGCCCCAACCAATGAAACATATTGTTGAACATCTCGTTCCA